ATTCATTGAGTTTAGAATAAATTCCGGGGAAAATTTGTCCCGTCGTTCCCGCTTTACAATTAGTGAAGGCCCAAGCTGATGTCGAGTAAAAAAATTATTGTCAATTTGGGAATTGATTTCAGAATATCTCGAGAAGTATAAGGAATTACGGAATGAACTTTGGTAGTAATGAAGATTGTTTATTTTTGAATAGATATGGATGGAAAGTAAAATTGTAAAGCATTTGATTTAAAAGAATTTTATTGGCGAAAGTAGGTACCCCATGAAAAGAGTTCCATACCTTTATTTTTTTTTTCAACACCTCAATTTTTTTTCTAAGCGATCTAAAGGCCTGTGCTTAGAATATTTAATCAAGGTTTCAAGTAATACATTAGCACAGGATTTACACATTCACTCAACATATACATTTTTTTTAAAAAAATGAAGATATATTGAAGATGTAGGCCTACTGAAGGAAAAAAACATTAACTTCATTTTTAAAAAACATCTCAAAATTAACATCACTTTACGTCACACCCCATCTGACAGACAATGATTAAAATAACAATTTAAGGTCTAGCTATCTTGTTTTTCCTATTTGTGAGTATCAAAGCAGCAGCGAGATTAAATATACATGAAAAAGTAATGTTGATGATTTATCCAATTAAACAATTTATTTTATTTTTTCCCTTTCCTTCGAGACCGTACAATTCTTGAGTTTGTAAACTAACTATTAAAATAAATGCTGACCTAAGTATGGGTAACTATACAAATAGAAAATATTTTTCAGCAATAAACTTACTCATGTTGAACCTAAACATAAGGTATAATTAGAAAAGGTTTGTGAAGCATGAATGTATACTTCAATGTACATTAAATATTGAAGTAGAAACAATATGGGATGCATTAAAATCCGAACAATCAGAATAAAATATAAGCAAATAGATTTTCTTTGTGAAGCACGTCTCCATCTATATGAAACTACAATGTAGACTGATTTTCTCAACATCGATATCGCAGAAGAAAAAATACGTATGGAACTTCTTGTTCCAATTAATGCGTGAAAAAAGCTACGTTATACATGGTACCGGGGTACCGGGGTAAATGGTTTAGTTCATCGCGACAAATCGCAGCTCAAGCCACTTTTACCACGGAAGGCTTGGCGATATCACAAGAAAGACAGGGAAAGTAAGAGAGTATAAACAGAACACAAATAACATAAGTTTCTTGTCTTTTTAATGGTGGTTTGACATTAAAGAACGCAAACTTTCTACAAATTTCTTATTTCCATTTATTCAGAAATTATAGCGAGCATTCAAATTTGCCATTTTAGAGACGGTGGTGAACTCGCTAAAATTATACTCGTATATTGTTATTATACCTCTATTGTTTTTATCTTATGTTAAAGGAAGGCAGTAAAATGTGAATAATTCCCTAGAAATCTCAGTGAATGGACTAATTCCCCGTGCTTTAGTTAAATGAGCTATTCCCTGCTTCGGAAGCTAATTCCCCGGTTATCCGTAATACTCTAGATTTTACTTTTGTATTAGTCTAATATGTTAATGGACTAATTCCCTGTGCATTAGTCTTGAAGCTAATTCCCCGCCATTCGTAATCCTCTATTTGTATCGGTATAATAAAACAGTTAAAAAGTATATCATTGAGGAAGTTAGCAAGATTCCAGTTCCCAAAGACCAGGACTATTTCCCGAGGCGTAGCGCGCCTCGGGAAATAGTCCTGGTCTTGGGGAACTGGAATTTTGCTAACTCCCTCAATGATATACTTTAACTGTAGGGACTAACAATTTCTAGAAATTTAACGTTTTTTTCGAGGGTTTTATGCACATGGTATAATGGCTTTAATTCTCAAAAAGTTTATTCGAAAAAACCAACCTCCTTTAACAAAAAGTTTGAAAATATGTACTCATTAGTCTTAAAGGGCTAATTATCTTTATCCCAAATAGTTTCTGTAGTATGTAAATTACATTTTGTATTTTGAATTAATTACTTTTAAAACAGAGTTAACTATAGCATTCGAGTTTTCATGTTCAAAGTGCATGATTATGTAAATTGTATTTACTGCTTACATTTAAAAAATTGTAAAAAAAAAAAAAAAAAAGTTTATTCTGTCAACCCCCCCCCCTTGGCTTTATTAAGGCAGCAAACATTTCTATGCACTTTGTTTACTTTCTAATCCCACTTATGCCTAGGTCATATTTCCCGGCCGGTAGCCGTAGACCGGTGGTAATCGGTAGTAATCCGTGGTGTTAACGATGCCCCAACATCGGTACACATCGGTCTAGTAGTCCTTAAAGTATCAGTCACATTATCCAGCGATGTGCATACGATGGGCAACCAATGCGTTATATGAGAGAAATGGCGTGGTTGCCGGCCGGACTTACAAAGGTCCAGCGATGCATTGCTAACCATAAAACGATGTTCCAGGATAATCGGCCGATGTATATTACATCGCTCATACATTGTTGAATATCGTTCGTACATCGGTCGACTACGGGCCAATGTTTGGTCGAACATCAACCGATGATCGGTCGTTATCTGTTGAACACCACTAGACTCCCGGATGACCTCAGATTCAACGGATATTGGACGATGCTCGGCCATACATCGGCCGATCCGTGAAAGATATTTTAATGATGGGTTGCCGATGAAGAGCTATGTGAGGCATCGTTTGAGACATCGCTGAATTTTAACTACGAATTATTTCCTACCGATGACCCCACCGATTCGCAAAAAAGACTCAGTGACTTATCATAGGCGTAGTCACAGGGGGGGCAGCGGGGGCACCCCCCCCCCCCCACTTTCAGATCTGGGGGGGCAAGAGTATGTCTGTGCCCCCCCCCCACTTTTTAAAAGAAGAACAAAATCACAGCTATTTTTCCCCAAGACTACCTTTACTATAAGAAAACTAGCCTTTGAAAAAATTGCCCCCCCCCCCCCCCCCCCCCCCCCACGAAATAGGATTTTCGAGTTTGGGCAACTTTTTATTTTTCGGTGTTTTTTTTTTTTTTTTTTTTTTCTTGTCAAATAATTTCTGGTGTTGCCCCCCCCCCCCCCCACTTTTAAGTTTGTTTGTTTGTTTTTTTTTTTTTTTTTGCTTGTCAAAGAATTTCTGGAGTTGAGCCCCCCCACTTTTAAGTTTGTTTGTTTGTTTGTTTTTTTTTTTTTTTGCTTGTCAAAGAATTTCTGGAGTTGAGCCCCCAAGGCATGGGGGCCATAAAACTTAGACGAGCTCATTGTTGATCTCAGTCTCACTTTTCTACTATTTATTCCTTTAATAAAAGTGAGACTGAGATCAAAAGTAAGCTCATCTAAGTTTTATGGCCCCAGAGCCATATAATGCAATCAATCTTTTTTTTTCTTTTGCTTTAAATGTTTGCATCTATAAAAAAAATCCTGTTTTTAAAATTCCCAGAATTTCAGATCGACGTGCACTTTTAGAGTAGCCAACGCGAATTTTGAAAAGTAATTAGGTCTTTTGTGTAACAGCTAACAACTTAGTTTATATGAGTAAATATGATGGTCAACATTGCTTTTGCGTGGTCTCTACAAAGACGAAGAAAACCAGTTTTGGCACCGACACTGACAACACGGTTTGTATTAATTTTTTTAAAAAATGGGTATGAACTTTATATAAGAATATATCATCAAAGTCTTACATGGCGTTAATGAATCAATTGATGTTACCAGGAGTTTTCGGGTACCTGTAAAGTGCGAAACGAAATAGAAACGAAACGAACTGAAACGAAACGAAACCTGCCGAAACGAAACGAAATCTACCGAAACGAAACGAAACCTACCGAAACGAAACGAAATCAAGACGAAACGAAACGAAATCAAAACGAAACCTGCCGAAACGACACGAAACAAAAATTTCAGAATGTTTATATGGTCTATTTTTACTTCAAATGAAATTTATATAGTTCAAGCACCACAGGCAATTGTTTCGCTTCAAGCTCATACATAGGCGTACGCGTAGGAAGGAAATTGAAAGGGGGGGCTTAACCAATAAAAAGGTTAACCCCAATTTTCATTGCCTATATAATATATATCTTTGCAAAAATGGGAGGGGGGATAATCCCCCCCCCCTGCTTCCGACGCCTATGTCATATTTCATTAATATCTTACTGAATAATTTATTTACCTATTTAAAATTGACATCGTTCGCTTCGAGAGACTTTTTTCTCGTTAGTTAAATCGTTTTAGACGTCTCTGATCGAGCCTCTTTATTGCATATCACTCATTTCTTCATCGGAAATTACCTCGATAAAAATAGGACCGTATGTACGTAGAAAGGATACACAAGATTCCGGTTGTAGTTACATGTAGAACTGAACAATAAAACCAGACATCTCGGAATGGAATACTAAATACTGTAAGTCGCTGGTTTATCCTATGTTTTAAGACATTCGCAATACATCAGTACAAAGACTTAATTTATTTCGACCCGTACATAAAGGAGCCTTTACATGTAACACATCAATTTTGATAAATATGTGTTACATGTATCTAGATAAATAAGGACTGAAAATAAGAGTAAGATATAAAAATTAGAAAATACTGCACATATTGAAATTATACATGCATAGTACGCTCGTGCATATTTGCAGCTGGCAAAAATGTAAATACATCATTAGACTGAGAAGGGAGCATAACTTATCAGTAATTAAATTTTATATTAACAAGTGCTTGAACTATATAAATTTTATTTGAAGTAAAAAAAAAGTCCACATGCAATTACACACATATATACATGTACCTTGATTTGCAAAAAAAAAAAAAAAACAAAACAAAAAAACATTTTGATAGTTTTGTTTCGTTTCGGCAGGTTTCGTTTTGATTTCGTTTCGTTTCGTCTTGATTTCGTTTCGTTTCGGTAGGTTTCGTTTCGTTTCGGTAGATTTCGTTTCGTTTCGGCAGGTTTCATTTCGTTTCAGTTCGTTTCGTTTCGTTTCGTTTCTATTTCGTTTCGCACTTTACAGGTACCCGGAGTTTTCAGCTCACCTTCAATGCTAAAATATTCCCAATCCTCACCGACGACGTCTAACATGGTTTTATCATTTTCTGTTAAAAATATTTTCAACAAATTGCAGGATGCTCTCTTTGCATTGAACAAAAGTCCAACGCAGATGGGATTTCTTTTTTTAAGGCATTCTGCAGAACAAATTGTAGAAGTGGAAGCGACCACAGAATTAAAATGAAATGAAGAACTGTTCGCAGATCCATTAAATATGAAGGTCTTGTAGAACAAGGCATCACACACCAAATTAAAATCTTTTCCGAAGCTAGTCTGCAAAACGAAGACAGCACAAAAAAAGTGTTTTATTTTGTGTAACATTTTAATTCATCAGGATCGGCGCAGTCTTTGTATCGTTATGTTATGCAACTTTGTTTTGTTCTTAGTGATGTAACATCGATCGAATTATCTTAAGGATTTGATTCAATGATTTTGATGTGCTGGAATATTGAGGCCATTGCAATTTTTTTATGTTAAACGTTGGTTTTTAAACCCTTTAAAAAGGTTTTTTTTTTTTCAAAAAAAAAAAAATGCAATCACAAAATCAAATTGATTCATTTAGGCGAAAAACCTCTATGTTATGTCCAATATTTATTTCTTATTTTTAAGAATCTACATGATTCAAAATTGTTAAAGACTGTATATATTAAATTCCTATTTTGAAAAGTTCATAAGAATAAAAAAAATAGAAATACAAACTCTAAAAGTCTTTCAATTATTTCGTTTTCTTTTTTTAATATCTGTTTTACTCACATCGGCATTTTTTTGCTTATTTAATTTATGAATAGGTAGGAAGATTTTTGAATTGAAGTTGACGCTAAACAGAAAATAAGTTAGAATTACTTTATTTATGTAACAACCGATAAAAATATAGATATCATGCTACTATGTCAATGTCATTCTGATTCATTTTCACTATTGCTAAAGATTGACTGCAGGATTGTCCTGTTTTAACTGATGTTTTGATGATTTATATCTGCGGTAAAGCTATGATTAATATTTTTTTAATTTAATGTCTTCTGAGACATACATTATGATTCCATACAAGATGGAAATCATTTTTTAAATCCTCATCGAGTAATGCATCAATTGCCTACAGCGACTACCAGATTAAAATATTGTCATGATGTGATGCGTTTTTGTTTGAGTAATTATGTACATGCAGGTACATGTATGACATCTAGCTACCGAAACACCCTTTGTGACTAGTCATTGCGATGGATAAAAGAAAATAAATATATTATCAGAAGGTTTGCCAATGTACATTAAATCCCAGGTTCTGATATTTTGTGTTGCGGGGATTTTATCCCACGCACCTGCCTCAGTAATATCGATAAAAGTCATGTATTTTCAAGAAGAACACTGTAAATTGCTTGGTGGGACGGCGATAGGGACAAAAATATATACTTATTATAGGATTTGAATTGGGGACGGATTTTTCCGTTATTTCACGATCATAACAAGTAGCACGGCGGGTGCGACCGATCGACAGGGGATGATCACTCCTCCATGACACTTTATCCCACTTCTGCTGTTTTAGGGGTCAATATTTGCTAAAAAAAAAATGTATATTTTAATGGACTTTTGAGGTTGAATACTGTTCTTAATCCCTTTAAAATTCATTAAGGCAAGTAAATGAAATACTGTATAGACGGCTGATAAATGAAAGCAAATAAAAAAAAAAGCTTTTTGGACAATTTTTAACAAAAAAGACATAGTTCTAGAATTGTTTTAAATTTGAGCTTAATTTTTATTAAGACAAAAGTCTTGCAGAGAACAATTTCATTTTTGAACGAAGTCTTTAAAGTGATATTTTGTCAAGTGATACATAGATGCAGATTACACACCGCCGAGATCTCACCAGTGCCTTCATTTGAGCTAAAAAAAAACCTCAAGTACTTAAAACGTACATTTTTACAACTTATGAAAATGTATCTTTTAACTTCATAGAAATAAATACGTAATTTTATTCGGAGCGGGAAAATGAATTACCGGTATAGTATATGAGTATATCTGGTCCAGAAAAAATATTTTTTTTTTTTTTAAACTCCTGTTATACAGAAATCACTAGCAAGTAAGACACAGACTGTTTAGGAGATGTTTTTTGTTTTATTTAATAACGGGTTATTATATTCAAGTTTTAGCTATAGATTATAGTAATAATTGAAGGGTCTCTTGGAAAATTTACACATATAATATGTCGCATGCCCTTAAAATTGCAAAATGAAGAAAATTCAATAAAATCAGACAACAACTGCCTATAAATCTTTACATGTCTTACATCATTACTACTAAAACGGGCACTCAGTCCACAGGAAACGTTATACCAAGTGTGATAAGATTAGCACATAAGTGTTTCGCCTTGTCCTATATGTCGTGTAAAGAAGTGAAATTGTCAACAATCTAACATGGCGGTGTCATAGAAGGTAAGGCAAGATAAACGCATTGATTCTTGTTGTTTTATATATTCGTACTAGTAAGCTATTGATATTGTTTTGTGTTTATTTATGTTGATAAGTTTAATTTATCTGTTTAAATATTCATCTCTTTTTGGCAAACTATTTTACGTTTCTCTATCAACATTTTTAAAAAAAAGTTCTTACTTTCAAACCAACTGTAGAACGTGAGGTATAGTATACACGACAAGGAGCAAACGGCGGGTGTGACCGGTCGGCAGGGGTGCTTACTCCTCCATGGCATCTGATCCCACCTCTGATTTTTTGGAGGTCCGTGTTCACTCTGTTCCTATTTTGTTTTGTTTTATGGTTTTTGATCTTGAAAACAGTTCGTTATCTCCATATATTTCATAATAGTCATCTTAGTTCAATCTTTAAAAGGAAAAGTGAAAATATAGAATTGATGCATATTTATATAGATATATACATGCACATGATTATGTACAAAATAGAGCAACAAAAAGAAACAAAGGAAAAAGATAAAAGGAACAGGAAATTAGGACATAAAAATTACAAAAAGATATATTGTATCATAAAGTTAAGAAAAATATTGCCTGACGTAGTTTTCTTAAGGTTTAAAATCTTACTTTTCTTACTAGTTATTTCGTGATGAGGAGGTTTCGTTCGCGGCCCCGCGTCAAACCTAAGACGTAAACATAGGTAGTGACTGTTCCTTCGCCAAGCGCTCGACATTAGAAGTGAAAGTCACGGGTCTTTCGGATATGATCTTAAAAACGTAGGTCCCATGTCACGGTAGGCGTTGGCACGATAAAGAATCCTCAATGCTCAACGGCCCTGAGTGCCGAGTATAGGTCTAAATTTGAAGCCCTTCACCGACAGACGGTGACGTCTCTGTATGAGTGAAAAATTATCGAATGGGACGTTAAACAACATACAATCAATCGATCTTACTAGTTATTTCAATAAATATAAATATAAGATATACACATTCGAAACAGAGAAATATCAACTCTTAAAAAATATCAGAGGTCGGAGGAAGTGCAATAGAGGACTAAAAATTCCCGGCGACAGGTCGTAGATGCAGTGCGTTGTTTTCTATAATTGAGCAAACGGGAAAACTATGGCCAATTTAGTGTAACAATATATCGATAGATCAATACGTTCTGAAGAGATGGGGTCGATTTGATGTACTGATACGTATAAAAATAACTATGGGTACTTTGAGCACTGAGCTCACTAAATGATACACCCTCCTCCTATATGATTATAATGGCAAAGTTAATGTTTTGTTCTGCGGGACCCAAAACAGGTATCAGATCAAAAAGTAAAATAAAAAGGTGCACAATTGCATTATATAAAAAATAATATGTGAAAGAATCATTTAATTTTTCTCGCGGTGGTATAGGAGGAGTTCTGGATAAGAGATAGGTACCCTTCAATATTATAGAAAAAATAGCTGTGTCCATATTTTGTTATGGGATACCCGAAATATGCTTCGATCAAAAGTAAAATAGGTGGTCACAACGAAACTTTGTAACAAAGATTTTTGTGAAAGCTTCATTAAATATCATTGAGTGGTATGGGAGGAGTCGCAGATAAGAGATGGGTATCCAATAGCGTAACAGACGGACGAATATTTCGATCACTATATACCCTCCAACTTTTCAAGCCGGGGTATAATCAGATTCTGAGTTATCTCTAATATAATGTTCACTGGAATATATCATAGCTAGTGCGCTTCATGAAATATGCCTACGTGACAAGTCTGTGTGATTCACACACCAATAACTCACGCAAAAACTTTTAAAAAACATTCCTTATATTAATTTTACATTTTCCATGTCTAAAAGCATTAAAAAAATACTCTTTTTTTCATTTCTCGCTGCCCTATATCGTTATACCTTTACTCACATCGCTGTAACCTCATTGTGACGTCACGTTAAGGTCAAGATCTAGTAAATGAAAGATGCCTACGGATTTATCAAATTTGATATATAAATTCCTTTAATTATGCTTTACAACTTTAGCTAGATCAAATAAGGTGTTTCGGGGCATAATTTGTAGGTAAACAATATGAAAAACCATACTTTAAACTGTTATTTTCAATGAAAAATGAAGAAAACCCGTCATGAAAATAGCAGTTTTTTTCATATTCGACAAAGGAAATGTATCCAGATTGCCTACAGTCTCTCAGAAAACGGTAGATTGCATGTTCACGGCCTCTTCTTTAAAATAATATCAAATTTAATATAGGTATCGGGGTTACTTTTCATATGATTTCAGATTGAATGCCATGAAATCACCATATTTTCTACATAATTCTACTAAAGCTGTAAAGTACGGGAAAAAGAAAGTTGAAATTGATTATGACGTCATAATGGCTCTAGCACCAAAAAATTAGTATAATGTCATTTACTAGATCTTGACCTTAACGCACATTTCTCCGTGTATTTATTTACGCGTGAGTATACACGAAACGGTATTCAAATCAATTTCACAGTTGGCTTACTAGAAAACACAGCATATGTAAATATTTGGAAATAATTACTACTTATTATTAATTATATATTTATATATATTGTCATATTTGTTAACGTCGAGTTGAAGGCAGTAAGCAGACACCAGCAAGTGTTGTATACTGTTTTTTATACCCCCCGCTTAAAAAGCGGGAGGGTATATAGTAATCGGGATGTTCGTTCGTCCGTCCGTCCGTCTGTTACGCTTTGGGGTACCTATCTCTTATCCGCAACTCCTCTCGAGCTCATACCACTGAATGAAATTTGATGAGACTTTCACATATTCTTTGTTATATAGTACTGTTCCATTGTGCACCTTCTATAATTTTACTTTTTGATCGGACACATATTTTGGGCTTTTCAGCGCAAAACATTGACACTGCCATTTTTTTTTTTTAATATCGAAGGGTACACATCTCTTATCCGTAAGTCCTCCTATACCACTGAATAAAATTTAATGATTCTTCCGGGTCTCCAAGAGCAAAACAGGGACTTTGTCATTATAATCATGTGGGAGGCGGGGGTATCATTTAGTGAGCTCGTTGCTCACAGTACCCCTAGGTTTTTTTTAGGTTTTTTTTTTTAGAAATTCTACTTCATAAAATATATGGAGATAACGAACAGTATTCAAAATCAAAGTCCATTAAACAATACAGAATAGGAGCGGAGCAAACACGGACCTCTATAGCATTATACGTGTAGGTGGTATCAGGTTCCATGAAAGAATAAACATCCTCGTCCTACAAGTCACACCCGCCCCGTGCTCCTTGTCATAATTAGGAAATCCGTCGTCAATTCAGTGTGTAAATAATGGCCTAAAAAGTTTGAAAAAACGTCAGTCAGCATTTTACTCATGCAATGATAAATTGTATTTGCTGACAAGGTCATTGTATCGAACATAGAACTTACGAAATGAAGACCATAAACGCGATTGCTGATATTCTTGTTTCATCAGCTTGTTGGTCAATGATCTACCTTTGAAGATACGTAGAGCATGCTCTTGCGTATCAAAGCAACTGAGAGAAAAAAACACCGTATGCAGGTGATGAAGGAGTATTGCTGCAAATGTAAGGGAAGTTGACGATTGAAAAGTTTGAGTTATCACGTTTATCATTGAGCATAGGTGTTAGATCACCATTAACGTCTTACATGTGTCAGACTCTGTGGTATCTTTTATTTCAAACTCACCGGGATATATCGTATCGACAGAAGAATGGAAATAACCACCATTTATTGAAAATACGTCGTCGATATATCTAAATGTCGAGATGAAAGCCACAGCAAATGTTTTCTTCTTTTCATGTATAAGATTTTGGACAAATTCTGCTTCATTTGAATACAAAAATGGGTCTCTTAAGAAGGGGGCGCAATTGGTACCCATGGGAATCCTAATAGATTGTTGGAAGATCTGGTGTACTAAAACCACAAAGATATTGTCGATCAGAAACTTAAACATCTTTTGATGTCAACTTCAGAGTACTTGTGTTTACATTCAGAATGTTTCAAACAAAATAATTTGGCAAATGACCAATGACAAGGTAAATAAATTTATGAGGTTCATTTTTTTTTTAAAAAGTAGCTGTCAATGATATCAAAAATCCTGGACTTTAATTTATTGTGAGGAATGGTTATGTATAAAGTTGAAAAGTCGTACTTTTTTAAGCTGCTGATTTTGGTAAAATCCTTTGATTTAATTTTTTCATAAAGTTCCTTGGAATTTTTAAGTATATACATCTGAGTTACATCACTTCTCGAATAGTAGTATATTGCTGCACAGTACTCTTGAAGTTTCTCCTTATTACTGTTAATTTCTTAGTGGGGAGTAAAGGAAGAGGCTTATTTGGACATAAACTGGAACCAGCTATGTATCTATGTTCGTAAGGATATTAATGAAGTTTCGGAATCCAATATAGATATGGTAATTCAAAATTCATTTTGGTTGTTCGGAATATTAAAAATATTCAAAATTGACAACTGATTTTGAAGAATTTCTTCCTTAGAAAGGGATCTACGAGTATAAGTCAGATTAATACTTAAGTCTTGTAGATTAAATCCAAGTTCATCTAAAATACAATTTATATAATGGGCTTTACAAACGAAAACAATGTTGTTTCCTGCTTTGTCAGCAGAAACCAGGAGGTACTGATCATATAATCTATCTAATTCTTTTTTCACTTCTGGATTATTAAATACAGAGCGAAAGATGGTTTTCATATTGCCTCTAAATATTTTAATGCGCGATTATAACATAAATGAAACATATGGACATAACGAAAAGTATTCAATAAAATAATACAAAATAGGAGCAGAGCAAACACGGACCTCCAAAGCATCAGAGGTATGATCAGGTGCCATGGAGGAGTGAGCATCCCCTGCTGACCGGTCAGTCCCGCCGTGTGCTCCTTGTCATGATCGGGAAATAGCGGAATATAGAAAAAATATATCTGATACATTTAAATCCATTCTGACAAAGTGTCAATGTCTTCTTTTTCA